CAGGATAGAAAAGTCAGTCGGAATTGTGGTTACTGAACTTATCTCTCATTTTCCACCGATCGATCTCTTTACTAACCCTAGTGTGCCCAATCAAATTAATTAACGGTTTAGTCCAACTGGGGTACCTGGGTAGTCGTTTAAGGATTTATATCTAAAAGTCGGCTGTAACTTAGTATAATCCTGGGTATTGGATGTACATTGATTTATTTATTGTTAACGAAGATATTTTTAAACAAATGCAATGACAGTATTATACACAAGCACCATTGTAATAAAAATTCTGCTATAACCTGTAATTAGTCAGCGCGTATACTTGTGAATTTAGGGAATGTCTCAACTGACGTCCAAATCGAAGAGCCTATTCGACTACCGAATTCGGACAGTGTTTTTCAGGCAGAGGTCTTTGTCATCAAAGAGCCGGGAGCAGCATTCTCGGATAGCCAGGCCAAGCACCACATCCAGCATAATAAAACAATGTACAGAGAATGTTATGGCTTTAGCTGAAAGGCATCTCATTCCACTGATCTTGACGCAGGGCCACGGCATAATTCATGGCCATTAGCAAGCTAGCCAGTAAGGGGTCGGCTCTAGATGTCACAGAGGCAGAGGGGTTCTTGTGCCTCTCAGCACTGGGAAATGTGGCTATTAGTACTTGGAAAGATCTACTATCCTGTAGGGTCTGCAGAAGTCTCTGGCCCACCTATTGTGCTAAACGCACTTCATTTCTGTTAAAACTCAACAGGAGGAATTTACCTCGATTAATTGCCGTTTACATAGGGCACTGGACCGTGGGAATCCATGCTGATTAGGACTAGAATACAACAGCTCTTGTGGTAGCCGTGATTTTCCAGATGCATAAAAAACGTTGGAGCATCTGCTCTGTAATTTCATAGCACTATGTAGGACTATAATCAGGTATAAATACCTGCTCTGCGGTTTAACAGACATAATTGTGATATTAACCTATTGCAACTACTAATGGCCTTGCACGCCACATGCTGGATTTGAGAAATATAATTAACTTCTGTTATCTTCGGAATTTCTTCTCAGATTAAATTGCCATTAATGGTTTTACAACGGGACGCATAATGGCTAATTGTAATTATTAAACTCGCCACTTCCATCAACCAACCATCCTTAATAGGTTTTCTGTATTTAGTTTTTAATATGTTAATTACGATTTTGAATGATTTTAGGTAACTCTTATCAATATGACTGTATTATTGACCCACCTTTGGGAAGATATTATTCAAGTATAATATTGAGTCTTTGGCGATTTTGAATCATCCAACAATTTTGTGAAAGCATTTACATAGTAAGCTTAATAAAAAAGTATCATATATTCTATAATTAACAAGAACTTGAGTATATCGTTTCTATCCTTCGGAAAAAAACCGACTGTCTTGTTAATTTTTGGTACATAGCTGATCACTGTTCTGCCGTCAGGTAGTATGAATTTTGTTTTTTCGCGGTTTCCCGTATTTCAGGTACGTCAAGCTTTTTTGATCCCAATACTCCTAAGAATAATATTTCTCCGAAGAAAAAATTTTGCTAATATTGCGGAGGTAAAAAATGGTCCGTAGTCAAACCTACTCCAGATAAAAATAGTGGTTCCATCGGATCACATACCATGCGGTGTCCCAAGTTTTTCTCTGGTTTATTTCATGGGATCTTTCCAGTGAAGACTTACATACTGTGAGGACTAAATATCCGCGGAATTTAGCCCACACGAACACAAACCCCTACACCAACAATAACGCCTACAGCAACATCATCGAAACGGCTAACCAACACGGGAGACCGTATCAACACTCCTTTGAGACACCGTCACCATAGCAACGCAACATGTAGCCACACAACTCAGCAACACGAAGAACACCAGCTATAACAGAAGTGACTCAGAAACATACGAGGCAGTCAGCACTGAGCTGTGGTCGTGAACGCACAGCTACAAACGAATAGCGCACGACTTGT